TATTAAGATCAGTTTCATTGCAATAGGCAAATTTATTCAAAAGTTATTAGCGTTCTCAGAAATTAATTATAACTTTTGACCAACAGGTGGCGCTGTCTCAAAATCTTTTGAGTACCTTCAGGGCATGCTGCTTATGGCACACACTGAGTTTCGTAATGTTAGACCAAAGCATTTGTTTAGTATAGCATTGTATTTCACAAAACTGTATTGAAGTCAATGGGAATTTCACGTTTTGTTCTATTATAGCGCAACCAAGAGGCTCAGTCCCACAATTTTTTTTATGTGTCCTCAGAGTGACCCCATACATATGTGTGTCAATTTTGGTGCAAATATCTCAATTTACTTCCGAGTTATAAACATTTATATGAAAAAACACGTAAAAAATGACTGACACATGACTTTGTTTGAATTTTACTACCCCTTACTATCAATATTTTCGCATTTGGGCATTAGCGTATAGTTAACAAGCTATGATTCCGTGTTTCTGACGGTGGTTTCGTCTCGATCGGAACAGCGGTTTTGAAGATATCGCCAAGTGTTTTTTTCGCGCTAAATCGCTACGCTACGCCATCCGTGAGACGAAACCCGACATATTTGGTATCGTTGGACTCGGCAACGATTCAGGACCTCAAAAATATGACTCCCGTGAAAATAAGTGTACCACACCCAAAGTTATAAGCGTTTGAATAAAACAATTCACCACTAGGTGGCGCTGTTTCGAAACTTCTCAGGCTTCTTCAGGGCATCGTACTGATGACCCATACCGAGTTTCGTAACAATTCGTTCATGCATTCAAAAAATACAGCATTTTAGCACATAATTCAAAATGGCCGACAGCCAAAATGGCCGATCTGGGAAAATTGGATATCAGTCGACTCGGCATGATGCCCTGAATCTAACGAGATGAAGTTTATGATTTTTGGACAAACCGTTCAGAAGTTACGAGCAAAAATAGCCATTTTTCATATCTCCGGACCACTAGGTGGCGCTGCGCCGAAACGCTGCATGTAGCCTCAGGTCATGCTTGTGATTACATGTACCAAGTTTGGTCTGAATAGGATGAAGCGTTGCGGAGATAAAGCCTTACGTCTGTTTTCGCAAGCGTTACGTAAAATTAGTTTGTGTGTTTATCGAAAACGGTTATTCGAATTATCTTGAATTCCATAACTTTTTGTCAGCACTGCCTGGAGATGATCCGGTGCGATTTTGGTGAAAATCGGACAAACGGTCTAGGACGAGTTCGCAAAAGTACGTTTTTTGGAAAATTCAAAATGGCGGCCATGTTTTTATGACGGAAAATGACGTCATAGGGTGCGATCGAATCGGCATGAGCTCAGGAATAAGAGGAAAAAAGAATTTTGTTGATAGGTCTTACGGTTCAAAAGTTATTAGCATAATAAAAGTGAAACTTTGGACAGTTGGTGGCGCTAGAGGGAATGAGTTAGAGACACCAAAATTGGTGTATTTAAAGTTGGGACTGTCCTCTATCAGAATGTCAAACCAAAACAACTTTCCCGCAAACCGGTCTATGGGCTGCCATAGAGGCCCAGTCGGAAGAAGAATAATAATAATAAATATAGCTGCAAGCAGCCATTACCGGGGCCAAGCGCAAGAAGCGGCAACATATGCCAAAATGGCTAGGAGTGGCAGACCAACTGCAGCAAGGAGCAATTACGGGCATTTTGAGAGAACTTTTGGCAAATGGCTAAAAAAATCACATAAACATTAACTTATAAGATGATTTAATGGATTATCACTTTCGAACAATAGGTGGCGCAGTTACGAAATAGATGTGTGGTCAGAGTGAGGTGACAATGACACATGCAAAGTTTGGTGTCAAAATGTGAAGGCATTGCAGAGATAAAGCCTAAATAGTCATTTTGGCAGCATGCCTCAAATTTGATGCTGTGGTATACGAAAACGGTTTTGTCTATCGTCACGCAATCCATAACTTTTATTCGGCACCGTCTGGAGATGATACGATTCAATTTTCGTGAAAATCGGACAAACGGTCTAGGAGGAGTTCGAAAAAGAAGGTTTTTAAAAAAATAAAGATGGCGGACAGGAAGTTTGGCTGATTATGCAAAACCTGATATCTATGTTTTTCGGCATAACCCAAGGAATCTATTAAGATCAGTTTCATTGCAATAGGCAAATTTATTCAAAAGTTATTAGCGTTCTCAGAAATTAATTATAACTTTTGACCAACAGGTGGCGCTGTCTCAAAATCTTTTGAGTACCTTCAGGGCATGCTGCTTATGGCACACACTGAGTTTCGTAATGTTAGACCAAAGCATTTGTTTAGTATAGCATTGTATTTCACAAAACTGTATTGAAGTCAATGGGAATTTCACGTTTTGTTCTATTATAGCGCAACCAAGAGGCTCAGTCCCACAATTTTTTTTATGTGTCCTCAGAGTGACCCCATACATATGTGTGTCAATTTTGGTGCAAATATCTCAATTTACTTCCGAGTTATAAACATTTATATGAAAAAACACGTAAAAAATGACTGACACATGACTTTGTTTGAATTTTACTACCCCTTACTATCAATATTTTCGCATTTGGGCATTAGCGTATAGTTAACAAGCTATGATTCCGTGTTTCTGACGGTGGTTTCGTCTCGATCGGAACAGCGGTTTTGAAGATATCGCCAAGTGTTTTTTTCACGCTAAATCGCTACGCTTCACCAACCGTAAGATGAAACCCAGCATGTTTAGTATCATTGGACTCGGCAACAATTCAGGATCTCAAAAAGATGACTCCTGTGAAAATAAGTGTACCACACCCAAAGCTATAAGCGTTTGAAAAAAAAAATTCACCACTAGGTGGCGCTGTTTCGAAACTTCTCAGGCTCCTTCAGGGCATCGTACTGATGACCCATACCGAGTTTCGTAACAATTCGTTCATGCGTTCAAAAAATACAGCATTTTAGCACATAATTCAAAATGGCCGACCGCCAAAATGGCCGTTCTGGGAAAATTGGATATCGGTGGACTCGGCATGACGCCCTGAATCTAACGAGACCAAATTTATGATTTTTGGACAAACCGTTCAGAAGTTACGAGCAAAAATAGCCATTTTTCATATCTCCGGACCACTAGGTGGCGCTGCGCCGAAACGCAGCACGTAGCCTCAGGTCATGCTTGTGATGACACGTACCAAGTTTGGTGTGAAAACGAGTAAGCGTTGCGGAGATACAACCTCACGTCTGTTTTCGCAAGCGCTATGTAAATTTTGTTTACGCGTTTATCGAAAACGGTTATTCGAATCATCTTGAATTCCATAACTTTTTGTCAGCACTGCCTGGAGATGATCCGGTGCGATTTTGGTGAAAATCGGACAAACCGTCTAGGACGAGTTCGCAAAAGTAGGTTTTTTGGAAAATTCAAAATGGCGGCCGTTTTTTTATGACGGAAAATGACGTCATAGGGTGCGATCGAATCGGCATGAGCTCAGGAACAAGAGGAAAAAAGAATTTTGTTGATAGGCCTTACGGTTCAAAAGTTATTAGCATAATAAAAGTGAAACTTTGGACAGTTGGTGGCGCTAGAGGGAATGAGTTAGAGACACCAAAATTGGAGTATTTAAAGTTGGGACTGTCCTCTATCAGAATGTCAAACCAAAACAACTTTCCCGCAAACCGGTCTATGGGCTGCCATAGACGCCCAGTCGGAAGAAGAATAATAATAATAATAATAATAATAATAATAAGAACCGGCACAGATACAATAGGTGCCTCCGCACCTTCGGTGCTTGGCCCCTAATAATAATAATAATAATAAGAACCGGCACAGATACAATAGGTGCCTCCGCACCTTCGGTGCTTGGCCCCTAATAACAACAATAAAAACGAATACCATAGCATGCTTGTGGTAGCCAATCAGCATACACTCATGATGAGGGAGAAAAAAGAGTGAGCAAGAGGGAGATTTAAAGAAAGACTTTAGAATAAGAGATGACTGAAATACATTACAAAAGACAAAAGGTCAGAGCAATATCACTAGAAAATAGTGCTTATTATCTGTAAAAAAAAAAAAAAAAATTCTAACAGTGTTTTTGCTGTAGCAATTTTCTGTGTGATTTTAATTTCCAAACTATTTTTATGTGTCATGTTTGACCAAAAATTAAACCTTTGAGTTGTTGCCAAAATGACAGCATTTTTTATGGTGTTTGTAAATTGAAACAATCACAGAAATGTACTGCATGTATTACAATAAGTTACTGTAAAGTAACTTTACAGTAATTTTACAGTATTGATACCTCAGAAATACAGTATATTGATGGCATCTTTGCTGCCAGTATTTTATTTATTGTAAAATAAAGAAAAATCCAGGAAAATTCTGTATTTTGTTTTTACGGTAATAAGCTGTAAAGCAATTTCACAGTGTTGCATACCGTACAATTACTGCTGCCAGTATTGTACTGTTATATCACAGATAAATTGCTTGCTATACTTTTAATTACTAAAGCAAATACAGAACTGTAAAATAAAGTGTGATATAAAATCATTAAAAAAATAAAAAGCTTATAACTTATTGGCCTATTTTATTATTATTTTTTTAATGTTTGGTATATAATTCTCTGAGTACACCTCCCATTCACAGAACTGACCCTATACATTTTACCACGCATATGGTGCTATTATGTTTAATTCATCTGTACACATTATAAGGAAAAAAAAAATATTATCATTTAGTCTTTATTAAGACATGCATAATGGCTTTATAATCTTTCATTAAAATATAATATGCAACCGTCTCTCAAGATACTACTTTTTTCTGCTGACTTCCACTCTGGAATGAAAGCTCATTTTTCACATCCTAATCAAATCCCAATGGATAACATCAAGCCTCGCTCCATTTCTCTCTCTCTCTCTCTTATTGAACATCCCATTTCACTCCAAAATACTGTATGTGACATTATGAAATTGCGAGTTGTGAACATAGTTTCGTGTCACTTTTAGAGCAGTGGTTGTGATAATATGTAAGTCTCACCGTTGTAGTTTTCACTCTGCCGCTGGGCTGTGTACAAGTCCAGCCTGATTTATTTACTAACAGGTCACAGCCTTCATCCTCTAGACAGGGCACCATGTCACACCACTGCCTGGTCTTCACAATACGAGCTGTGGATCAAGACCAGAGAAAAGGTGTCTGCATTAGATGACAAAATAAGAAACCAACTGTAATTTATTTGAACTAGACAACACAAGCACATGTTTCAAGAAAACAAAATATTGTTTGTGAGTTTGGAAAAAGTATTGTGACACTTTCTGCTTGATAAACAGTACAGTGGAACATATCCATGTCAAGCCAATCCAAGGGCTAACTGACTTAAAATATCCAATATAAATCACATTGACAGCACTTGGTAATCATACAACACCAAATATATGGTAAAATATCCAAACCTTTCAGACTGAATGCGTCACTTTTGATTCACTTTTAGTTATTTAGCTTCAAGCATGTGTCAAAAGATTTTCACATCCTAGCTGTCCCTGCCGGTCAAGTATACACACACTAAACTGGTGTTGTGGATGATATAAAATGAGACATCACCCTATGGAAGCATCTTGTGCTACATGAGCATGAGAAAGGAAAATTTGTTTAATTCGAAAGGTATCAACATCAGTTATCTTCATACAACTCAAAATGTCTGATCCATTTCCTGAAAGATGAAATCACATCTCTCAAGGCTGCATTAACAGATATTTTTCTATTGTGATTTATAATATTTATTCTTGGCTCTTGCCATAATGCATTTCTGAGAGCAATATTTAGAGGCAGGAAGAGAACTAGAGTAATCAGAGCACAGGATAATTAACTGCTGATTTGCATTTTTGCCACTGAAGACTCTTTTGCAAATTTCAGATGCCACGGGGAGACAAAAGGTGGCGCAATCAGGCCTAATTGTAGGTTTAATGGAGGAATTCAATGCGGCAGTAATCAAGACAGCTGAGTAGCTTAAAACATTTGCTTCGGTGATGTTCAAATCTAGCTGTGAATAGCCGAATTATCATTTTACACATCTACGCAGTACATTAGACTAACAAGCAACCAAAACAGCAAACAAAAGCAATTTGCATGAGTCATGGCAAAAACGCATACAATGATTCAGAAATGCAGCATGATGCCATTTAAAGTCTGACTTTCTTTTTTACCCCCAGAATTTTCATGGATCACAAAAGTAGAAACTTTGAATAATGCACAGGTTACTCTTTGTCATACAATTACAATAAATGGGGCCTGGAGCTTTTGGAGCTTGTTATCTATAATTTTTTTTTATTTATTTTTTTTTTTTTTACCTGCAATATGCTCTTTAAGAAAATGAGATTGGACAGATGCTCTGCATTTAAGATCACGGCACACACTGAACATTCTGTTCTACTCAAAGACTGGTTAGTGTGAACCATGCCTCATATCCAAAGGCATTCACATAACCTCAAATACATTGCACAAAGCAGAATACATTACAAAACAGCAAATACCTGTTAATCAATCAACTTTAAAGTATCCATTTATGTCGAAAGTTCTGCATATTTTTTTACTACTCTCCCTAGAAGCAGGCACCCTGCAAACATCACTCTAAGAACACAATAGGGACTTTAAGCAACAGCTGCTGATAGAACGGCGACGGCAGCCGGAAATAAACAGTTAACTGCCGTAGCTAAAGAGCGCAAAAATCACTAAGCAACAGTAAAGAGGACGGCATAGGGAATAATTTAATCATCAGACAAAATACAAAAAGAAAGTGATTTTAAAAAGAAAGAGAAGGGTTGATTTTAGCACTTAATGATATACAGAAACGATTTCAATGCCACATAACCTAAAACATAACATTAACTGTCTTAATCTGTCACGTAGTAACGACTACGGCAAATCAGCTGTTCTCCCGTAGTAGACGGTTACAGTAGAACGTCAAGAAGTAGCAGTTAATGTCGCGCATGTGCAATAGAACGCCAGAATGCCGTTGCCGTTCCACCAGAGGCTGTTGCTTAAAGTCCCTACTGTACAACCTTGGAAGAGGTGGGAACAAAAACGGTGTTCATGAAAGAACTGCTGCAAAAAGGCATGTCTCATTTTTGTCCAAGAAAACCTGGGTGTTCTATAACACTCTTGTTTGGACATCTGAGACAAAAAGTTGAACTTATTGGCAAAAAATGGGCACTGCAAGCACAACAACACTAAAAAAATATCTTGTCAACTGTGAAGCATGAAAGTTTCATAATGTTTTAGAGCTATTTTGCTGCCTCACGGTCTGGACACAGACATTGAAGGAACATTGAATTCAAAGGATTATCTTTTTTTTTTCTCAGGAGAACATTAGTAAAGTACTAAACTAAAGAATGACTGAAAAGTGTGTGAAACCAATTGAGATGCTGTGGCATAATCCAAAGAGTACTGTGCTAACAAGACAACGCACAAATATTGAGGAACTGTGACCGATTTGTGGGGAGGGATGGTCCAAAATTGACAAGAGAAGCTAAAGAAAACATTTGGTGGAAATTTTGGTGCTAATGGAGGATCTACAGGTTTCTAGAGTTAATGGTTCCCTAACTTTCTCCAACCTGCAACTGTGATTGATTATTTATTCAATAAAAATGTAAAAAGTATATTGTTTGTGCGTTATTTGTTACGTCAGATTGTGTTTGTCTATGATCGTGTGTAAATTCACCTTTGGCTTCGCCCCCCTTAGTTACTGTTGCTACATCCGTCAAACTTCATCTGCGCTCTGCATGGCTTATGCTGTAACAGCTCTTCCTGCTGAAATGTTATCAAACTTTTATAAAGCAGCAAATAAAGTGTCCGATAGAAGTAGGCAAAGGGGGCTGCAATATGCGTTCGAAGGCTATATTCAAGACATACAGGTGAAACAACAAGGCATCCAAAATAGAGGCAAAACCCAGACAGCAAACTGACATTGAATCAACGTGGAAACGACGTCTCTCATGACATTGAAACAACGTTGATTTTGCTCATCGAATTAACGTTGAACCAACGTCAGACGCGGCATTCTTCAAAGCTAAATGAAAATCGAAAATTGGTTTGCTTTCATAACGTTGAAACAACGCGTTGATTTCAAGTTGATTTTCCGTTAGTTTTGAAAGAATGACGCGTCTGACGTTGGTTCAACATTAATTCGATGAGCAAAACAATGTCAGATCAACGTTGTTTCGATGTCATATTTCCACGTTGATTCAATGTCAGTTTGCTATCTGGGAAGCATAACGTTACTGGTCACAGTCAAAAAATGAACCACCGCATTTCCTACTAATCGAGACGGAGGCTGGGACTAACAATATCAGGGAGCAACACTGTTCATGTAAAGCTGGGTAGGTCTCTATTCACTTCTATAATCGTTATCACAAAGCAAACGGACTACACGAGTATAACGTTGTTTTTATTAGCAGCGTGTGCTAGCGTATCAACAACCGGTATGAGAACCGAAATCATAACCTAAAACATTATAAAACTGTCCAACTAGTATAACTTCACACTCACAGTAAGGTTAGAAGTAAAAAAAGATGTGCTTGTTGATCTTTGCGGGGTTTAGCTGACTGAGGACGTCCACACCGTTTCCAAAGACGACACTTGTCAGGATTTTACTTCGGTTTTGGGGAGGAAAAAAACGGACACCCCCTCCAACCTCTCTGGGAAACGCGTATCTGTGTTACAAATGCCCGAGGCACAACGTTTAACCATATTTTGGATAAAACTACGACGGTAATAGCCTCCTCCGACGCTGATTCTTTTTCTGGCTAGAAACCACCAGCACTGGAAGAGTCTTCCAGAAAAACTCTTGTAACTCTTCAGAGACATCAAACAATCGGCTCCGAAGCGAAAGGCAAGTAAAGCATGCATCCACTTCCGTATCTATACCAAATGTGTAATGTAAATCACGCACACCAATTACGTTCGTTTCAATAGTACTCGAAGATCGAAGACGTCAACGACGTCGAGCGTGAACGACTGAAAGGGAACAGTGCCATCAATTTAACACAGTAATATGCCCTCCTAGAGTGTTTGGTGCCCGGAAATTTGATTGAGATTTGCCGTTACCACCAATTATTAATCCAACTGAACATAAAAGGAAAGAACACCAGCTCAAACTCACCCAGACCACACAGCATTTAAGAAACATCGCATTTCACGGTGCATGTAATCACAGCGCCCATAATCTGATGTCATATATCACTGACATGCTACTGTTGCCATTTAATTTGAGCTATTGCAACATTTTAATCAATTTCAAGCAGGGTCACAACTTCCACAAGGGGCTGTTCAAACTTCCAGACAGTTTCCGTCCGTGTGTAACCACTCTCTAGGTGTGTGTAGAAGGATTCAAGGACAACTCGACGTTATAAAATAAAAACAACCTGGATGTAATCTGCCTCTGGGATGGGGCTAGACGCACAGTTCATCTGGAGGCGATAAGAGAAGGTATAACATCATTACACCCACACTGGGACACTCATCTTGTTGAAATGCTTTATCACACTCACGTCAACAGCCAGGAACCCTGGGTAATAAATCTTATCTAATGCTGTAGAAAAGCAAGGTCTGGCAGGAGAGAGTAGATATACAAGAGGGCAAGAGCTCATCTAGATCTTTGCATTTTAAAATGTGCGGAATATACTGTAGGTACAGCCATCTGGTCTAAGAATAGTCAGTAAAAATAATTAGTCAGTAATTAGTTCGTAAATGGATGAGCTGCCATCTGAAAAGGACTGATGTTTTGGAATTTGATTCATGACATTAAGCTTCAATGAAAGAACAATCAAACATGGCATTTCTTTAAAATCACAATTGTTCTGATTGAGGTATGAGAATGAATGAAGATTTTCAGAGAATTCTGCTTAAAGGATTAAAGGAATCTGATTTGAGAATTAAAATTTCCTGATAATTTACTTTACATTTACATAATCACGTTGGAAAGGTCAGGTGTTAACCTGATGACCTTTCAAGGTGATTATGCAATGTGTGGTGCGTCGAAGCTAGTGAAAAGGATTTGTGGTTAAAAGATATATTGATTTTAATTTATTATTATTATTATTATTTTAGAAAATGACAGATAGTTTGGTTAGATAAGACCCTTATTCGTCAGCTGGGATCATATAGAGAACTT